TATTACGAAGCTATCTTTATCCATCTTGCTTTCAAATTGTTGATTCCTGAGATATAACAAGTCTTTGTTATTACATAACACGTGTATTTAAAAATCGATAATTGATACGGTGCACCTGTTCTACTTGTATTTCATTTGTCAAGTGACACCCAGACTTTTGTAAATAGCAATGTTATTTATTTATGATAAATAATGTGTGTTTTATCTGAAGTAAAATTTATTTTTTGTGTAAATTGCTTTGTAAACAATGAAGTAGCCAAGTCAAATACATTATTTGACACAGATGTTTTTTATCTCCATGAAGCATATTGGTGGAAACGAACAGTATTCGAGAAATAACAAAAAAAACATGTTGAATCTTCTCTATATAAATAGAAACTTAACGTACTACACCTTACACGACTTATGGATCCTGCAGCTTGCCAGAGGGTAATTTTCATTTATTTATTTGCAATTTAGGTTCATAAACCCTCTGCTCACTTAAATAAAATGTTGCTTGAACCTTCATGATTTTCCTAAAGAAATGTATTTTATAAGTAAAATACAAACAATTATAGCATACCTTGCGGGGCTCAATTGGACAAAAAAGACACTACAACTTGACAAATCTATAAAGGAATATTGGCATTTCTGTCATTCAGAGTTATCTCTCTTATCAGAGTATCAATGACCCTTAATTGTGGGTTATATTATATTGCTTTTTCACTCCAATATATCATGAAATTGATATTTCCGCGATATATTGATTGTGTTGTTTTACGTCCCATTCGTAAATATTTCACACATTTAATGACGTCAACTTATACCGATCAAGGGTGGCAAATTATTGACCTTATCTCGTCACTCAGGGCCATTGAGCAAGAAGTGAGGGGTCTTCATAGAGCCAACACGATGGCACGATAACAGTAGCCTTTGCAAAATATTTTGCTAGTAGAAAAACACCTTTACAAAGTAATGTGGATTTAATTCAACCTTTAGCTTAATGTTTGTACTCTTTGTATTTTCTGTATTTTGCATATCTTACTCTTTGTTTTCGCTTACTTTTCGCTTAAAATATCGATTTTTTTTATTTAGAGAAAAATAATGCACATTAATATTTGTCTTATATTATTAAATATAAGTTAGTATAGTTAAAGCAGAGTAAGTTTTTAAATATAGTTAATCCTCAATGAAAATATTTGTTTTCTTTTCAGCAATTGATCGCTATTTTTGTTGATACGTGCAACTATGATACACACAAACACAATGTTATCAACTATCATTGCGTCACTAAACGCAGATTGACTTTCCAAAAATATCGTAAATAAAAAAAACCCTTCAAATTAACTATTCAGTTTTGGAATAAAAAAAAGACCTCATTTTCCAATCACTAAAAATTTAAGATTTTTTTGTGGATGCACTTTATTGCGAAGAAATTTTTTCATATTAATTGTTAGTCCATTATTTATACACTGAATTGACGACGGATTTTTTTCCGTTATTTCCCGAACATGACAAGGAGCACACGGCGGGTGTGACCGGTCGGCAGGGGATGCTCACTCCTCCATTGCACCTGATCCAACTTTTGATGTTTCGGGGGTCTGTGTTCTGCTCACAATGAAGTTCAACTGTGATTAACCAAGAAAGAGAGAGAGAGAGAGAGAGGAAGAGAGAGAGAGATGTTGATTGCTACATATCTTTGACACAGCCAATGAAAAGTAACTTGTGTTTTAAGAAAGTCAGATCATATAGAAGGCTTGGGTGTTTTTTCCTCTGTCCCTTCTTAATAGCTTTTAAAGATTTTACTTAATATAATCTGACTATTACATTGTTTGTAATGTAATTATAACATTTAAATGTTAATGCACTTACTTGGTTGTGTAGTATACTGACAAAAACATAACCTTTATCCAAGAAAAAGTTGTTTAAACTAAATATGCATATTTTTTATCATTAAAAAAGTTTTACGTCACCACCGTGCTAGTAGCAAAATATTAACATCTATAACGTTCGTTAAATGCTGATAAATTGTTCCACAATGAAAAAATTAAAAAACAGAGTTACGATATCAGTGTGTGATGAGTATTTTTATACTTTAATTGATTATAAAATTAACTTACATGTATGTCTAGAAAACGTTTCTTCAGCAACCTAAAATAACTCTTTTAATGCATGAGTTTACAATGTCAAAGTAATTGACGTCGAATGAATGAAATGCATCATAATGTAGTTAAATGTAAATCAGTTTAAGAGTATGTTCTGCATGTTCTGCGTACGAAAAAAATTCTAACACGGAGGAAGCTGTTGGCAATTTAATTGATGAAATAAAAATGCCAACTGCCTGTTATGAACCGATTATTTTGCATTTTAATAGTTGGTATTTTCACAATGACCTTTTAAGTAAATGCAATCTATATTTATGTCAAATGCTGACTGACGTTTTTCAACCTAACTGTTAAACCATCATTTGTATGCTGAATTGTCAACAAATTTATCAATTTACCCGATCATGACAAAGAGCACACGGTGGATGTAACCAGTTGATGAAGGATGCTCACTCCTTCATCCTGCACTCGATCCCACCTGTGATATTTTAGAAGTCCGAGGTTGCTCTGCTCCCGATTATAATTAAATGGATTCTGAGCTTGAATTAGGATCTTTCTCTCGATAAATAATTTTAATAATGTCAAAGTCTCTTATTGTTTTCTTCAGAACTTATTAAGCAAAAATGCAGACCTTCTGTGTTGTGTTTTGTTTGGTTTGTGTCCTGAATTTCTGTGAATGTTCAACCTTCTGTGCAGGTAAGTAGTTTGTAGTGCATGTCTCATAATTTCATCTGACATTGTTTTTTTTTATTTTTAAGGTGTTTATTGTCCAATTTACCTAAACTGATTTAAATATATTAGAATATTTAATTTTGAAGTAAGAGGCCTTGTATGTTTATAGTATTTAAAATAAAAATAATGAAACCACAGATAAGGCTAGCAGGAGACTGAGCAAATGTTTAAACATTAAGCAACTATAGACTGCAATTGAATGTGGCTGAAAGACATATGTACTTGAAAGACCTTTCCCCCTCCTTAAGTCGACGCATACAATGCTAACGGATGTGTTTTGTTCCTGTAAAACATAAACGCTTTGTTTTCAGAATACAAAAAGCCTGTGGTTGCATTCACTGCAAAGCTCTCAAGAGATACAACAATTAGTGGTCACGGGGTGGTCAAGTATGATCACGTGTTAACGAATTGGGGCGGGGCCTATAATTCACAGACCGGGATATTCACTGCTCCCTATGATGGCCTCTACGCAATATCGTGTACACTCATGGCTCAAACATCAAATAGTGTGCATTTGCAAATTGTTAGAAATGGGAAGAAGATGTCTATCTTATACTCTGCATCGAAAACGTTTCCTCAGTCAGGACAAACGCTTCATCTGCTACTCAACAAAGGGGATAGAGTCTGGATACAGAATCACAATCAACATACCGCAAAGCTACACGATCACGGCTCATACAACTTGTTTTCCGGTCTTCTAGTTACAGACCTTTGATACTGAAATTGAACAATATTTTGAAATAAATCATTTGCAATCATGTAAAGACGATCAACGTTTTTTTTTGTTTTTATTTATTTTATTTTTTTGCTGACATCCTAAATCAATAAGACATTCAGTATAATAAAATAAATGGTGCCTGTTTTGGAGGTAAAATTATAGGTTTTCATTTCTCAGCAGAATTATAATTTTAAGAAAGAGTATCCAGGAAAATGTTTTTAATGTTATTACAGTATTGTAGGGTAATCCTCTTAAACGCTTTTCAAAATCATTGACATAAAAATAGTATTGTAGAAATAAAATTTTACCTTGAAAATTCGAACCTGACAAAAATGTTCGCAAAGGACAGCATCATATTTACCCACGATTTGATATTTAGTACAGTCATTTAATAATCTTGTTTGTTCAACAATTTATTCTTTATTCCAGGCTTACATAATTTTACCGATATTTCCCCCTATAAACAAGAGCAAATACTTCATTACACATGTATTAAAAAAGGAATACATTCTTCAACTCTCAATACCTACAAAATCATTATAAGTTATATATTTAAAAAATGTTTTTTTCAGACTAGTAAAAGAAAAGAAGTTTTCTAAAAAAAAAATAGTTTATCATTAGTAATAATATCCGAAGGACCCGTAACTTTCATTTCAAAGTGCCTTGCGCATGGCAAAGAAACAGTTGCTACCAATTTTAACGACTAGGTCAGTCGCGGCCAAGATACTAACTGACGACCTCCCGATCGATTGTTAATGAAAGAAGTAAAATAATTATAAAATTAAGAATAACTAGGTAAAGGTTTGAACTTTAGAATCTTGACTTAAGGTAGGTCGCGGGTTTGCTTTTGTCATCAGTTTTGGTACGCAAATTCGACGATTCGAGCGGCTGTTTTGTGCACATTTGATTATGACGTCAGTTACGTCACAAAGACAACGTTACGTTGTTTCCCGCTTAATTCTCTGCAAATGACTTCAAGTCTGTACGAATCGAGTACTAAATAAATACAAAGTGCATGCTTTTGTACGTAAACCCCGTACATGTTTTATAATGAAATTTCAGTCTAAATTCTTAATTTAGTGATTATATGTAATGTCTTAGGACTTATTAAATACAATGCCAAATGAAAGAAATAATTTATATTGTAAGTGTAAGTAAACTGCTAAGAGTAAATCAAAATAAATCAGCGTAAAATTATGGAATGCAGAAAGAAAGTTATCTTGAATAAAAACTGCTTAGTGGAAAACTTGAGGGGTTGTATGTGTGCACATTATTTAAAACTCAGGGGAACATGCGTATTGCATCATGACTGCCATAAAAGCCGGGGCGAAAATATGCGTATACTTTTCAGGATGGAATACATCATTATCAGTAAAAAAGGGTTAAATTTAAGCACATGTTTTTTCCTGTTTTTTTTTTTTAATTACTATCATCATTATCAATATTGTTTGGTCGTTATGTATTTAAATCTCTTGTAATCGCCTTGTTTTGCTGGCTAATAAATTGTGAAATTCATTTAAAAATAAATTTATACAAACACCTGGACTGTTATACCTATAAGACACTGTAAATAATTTATAAGTATCTTTTTCTATATATTAAATTTTTTTTATAACAAAAACGCAAAGTGTAAAAGCTAAATGCAAGTGTTTTACATTTTGCGTATTGAAATTCATTCAGAGAATTCGAAATTAATAAATGCATGTTTGATATAGGGCAATATACTATAGCTTGCGACTAATATAGAAAGAACAAGTATACCCCCCCCCCGTCCCCTCGGCCGCTTATTTCCTCTGAATCGGGATGTTTTTTCTCACCGTTTTCGAATAAAGTGTTATGCCTGAAATCCTACTGACCATGACTTTCTTAAAAATACAGGTACTAATATTTAATATTTTATTACTCGCGTTGTTGTTGCTGTATGTTAATTCACAGGTTCGAGGAATCTTTATACCGTTCAACATGACTTTGTGATCGGAATATGAATTTCACAATGCTAGTGAAAATAAGTTGCTGGTCATTCTAATGTGTCTTCACAATAAATGAAATGATATAATTAAAATTAAATTTTGTATCTATGTCACCTTTTAAATCTTGCATTTCCAAAGACCAAGATATTTATACTCGTACTATAAACGTGACTACGTTCAACAAATGACGTTGTAGATGTAAATTACGCCATAAACGCAACATTTTAGTAGTATAAAAGAAACCTTTGAAATTATTTAGCAAAAAATCTAGCGAGAAGACATATTGATTTTTTTTAATTAATAGTTTCAATTTTACCTGATATTCACATTTTGAAACTCCTGACTAATTCGTCTACGTCTTTAAAAAGTTATCCATTCTTTTTCAAAGAAACTATTTTCACAAAATTGGCTTAAAACGTCATTTTCCCATATAATTCAATAGTAAAACGTATAAAAAGTACCAACAACAATACCACGCTTACAGTTATATAGTATTAAAACTATCTAGGCAAATTTAATGAAAATTGCAGATAATACGCTGTGAATTCTAAGGATCATTATATCAAATTTTCAGGATATGTTTTCTCGTAAGAATTTTTATGCAGTAAACCCGCGACCTACCTTAAGGTGCGGAAAATCCTATTGACATAATTGTGGTGCAGTTTCTAGAGGAAAGACCACGATAAATTATTTATCCTAATGGTGTTAGTATAAACAAATTTTAGTGAATTTGACCGGTCGGCAGGGGACCCTCACTCCTCTATGGCACTGGGTACATTAACAGATTAATATCAGATATATTTATAAAAAGTGACGCATTTAAGTTTTTTGCATAAGAAAAGAGACAATTGGTTTGTGGCCATATTTTTCAGCTCGTGTCAACATGTTTCTTCTTGTTTTTTATGAACAGACAGTCGATCTCAGGTAAGGTTGTGATGTACAGTGCTTTGTTGAACAGCTAATATAAATAACATAAATAAAATGATTAAGTGTTTTGATTTCGGAAGATTTCATTTAAATATATTTTTCCTACTTTGCTCTACCAAGCATAATGAGAAGGTTTGTTCATCTTCAAGATTCAGGAGATATACTGACTGAGGTCCACCTTAAAATTCCACGAAATAAGATACAATCTTTTATCAACGCCTTGAAGAATAAATATGCATAATCTTTAGAATTAAAGGTAATATAATGCTTATTATATCTCATCGAAATTATTTTAAAAAATGCGTCAAAGAAATTAATTTCAATTATTGTTCCCTTCATCTGCTTAGGTTACATGATCTATTAAAAATTAATTTACAACGACCAAATTCACTTACATAGTACAAAAGGAAAAAGAAAATATATTAATTATTACTTTTTTATTGAAAAAAAATTTACAAGGTGTAAAACAGATTGTGTTTCTCTCTTCACATTTACTGTCCACAATTTTTTATCGAATTTCTGTTTTTTTTTTTTCAATTATTGTTCACTGGGATCTGTAAAGTCATACATACTACAGATTTCCATAAGAAAACAAATCAAAAATGTGATTCATATCTTCAGTTTGATTTTATGTAAAATAGTGTTACGTGCGATTCAGGTGTAAAGTGACGTGTGGTTCAGACTCTTTGTCTAGGGTTGGCTGCATTAAAATTTTATAGTATCGGGTTTTAGCAATGACTTAGGGTTATATTCTGATATTCAGCCTCGGAAACAATTATTTTACGACATATGTGTTATTTTTATGGGAAAATATAACAATAAATGCAAGGATTTAAGTTTATAAATTCAAATGTATATTATTATTTGTTCAATAGTACTCAAAATTTAAAGTAAGAATCGCAAAAAGTTGAGGATAAAGCAAGTCAGAATTTGGAATCACAATAAGCTATATAAATTCTCAATTCATACCGAATAAAAACTTGGTATTATTAGTTACATAGTCTTTGAGTGACAGGATACGGGATGATACCTGGTAAATTTCATACCCGAGTCAGCTCCGCTTCGCCAGGTATGAAATTTACTGACCAGATATCATATCCTGTCACTCAAGATTATGTAACGAATTTACCCCACCGATGTAACATTTACTATTATCTGTGTTTTATTGATGTGTTTCTCTGCTATTTGCTTCATCACGCCTATACTGTGATTATTATGAGCCCATTGTGTTTGTCAAGTAATACATAGACTGGATGTAGATTTACAACTGACTGGGTATATAGGAAATCCACCTCCTTCACGTGACAGACTTCAATCAATCCTTAGCCAGGATAAACAACAGAGGTAGGGTAAAAAAGTGTTACTGCACCTATAAATGACGTTTTACATTGTTTAATTATACAACCGTTATGAAAACGGGTGCACATATATGTAGTGATAAGGTTTCCGTCTGTACGTTCCGCTTCGGGGTACACATCTCTTATCCTCAAAGCCTCTTATACGACTGAAGAGAATTTAATGAGTCTTTCACAGATTCTTTGTTACATATAGCCATTTTGACATTCTATTTACTCTCTGACTGGAAACCTATTGTGGGTTTCACATAGTAAAACATGAACATGGCCATTCTTTCCATTATATTGAAGGCTAATCATCTCATTCGCAACTCCTCAGACACCAGTAATAAAATTTAATGATGATTTCACAATTCTTATTATATATAGCAACTGTATACATCCTACTTTATTTTTTGTTGTGACACTTGCATATTTCCAATAGCAAAATATGAACTTTGCTATTATAATCATATCGGAGGCAGGGTGAACATTTTGTAACCTCAGTGCTCACGGTACCTTAAGTTCTTTAATTTGTTTTCTGTTTTTATCATAATATCCCCTATACATAGCCATAATAGTAAATAGTTTCATAGAAAAGAATATTAGCACTAAAATAATGTGTTCATCGTATTTGACTGTTAAATTTTCATTACATTTATTTTGTGCATTTTTGAGTTCGTATGACAAAAATGTTTAATTTCTACATATTTTGATATTTCGTGGAGTTGTCTTTAGATATATATAAAAATTTGGCTTATAAAGTAACGCAACAATGCTTAATTTGATTGTTTAAGTTTCATTTAATTTTACTG